TAGGTAGGTATTCCTAAGAGACTACCGGTCTTGCCAATTTGATCATAACTTAGTGAATGAGACGTCAATTACCATTTTATGAAGAAGATGGGGTCGAAATGAAACTCGATGGAGGATACAAGATGTGGGGTCAAGGTGCTATTTCACGAAACAAATAAAAAAACAAACAAAAAAAATTCTAAACTCCAAAGAAGATAATTTATAATCCATTGTATTCCTAACCCAAATAAGAAACGTTAACTTCTTCATCCCATCCCAACTATTTTCACACACATTTAACTCCAAAACATCATCTGATCAAATAGAAAATATTTCCACAACATCTGGAAGGGGTAAGTGATTACCTCAATAATTTTGCTAGGTGCTTTTAAAGCAGCTTTAGTTGACTCCATATGCTTGTAAGTAATGAAACCATATCCACGAGACTTCCCTGTCGTTTTGTCATAGATAACGGCTCCTTCTTCAATTTCGCCATGGACGCTAAACGTCTGAACATGAAAATAATTACAACTACTTCGTTAGGAAGAAAACCAACAGAACACTTTTTTGTAGGAGATAGAAGCCTAGGAGAAAAAATTATTAAAAAAGAAAGTGATCCCAAAATTTAATGTTCCAGGACTAAGAACATATATCCTAGAGAACAATCACAAGCATGACAGGCAAAACACAAGCAACGACCAACTGCACTCACAGCACACAATGTTTCTGAAGTGGTATTCCAGGCCAAGCCACGAACAAAAAGCTTTCGATTGACAGGATCTGCACTGGCAACACTTTTTATTTCTTCTGCAATGGAAGGATACTGGGACCCTCTTTATGCCTCAACATGCAACGCAAACAAACACACATTCACCATGTCAATCACACAGCATACAATTCAAGCAACACCCTTTTGATTGGAATACCCAAAAATCTTATTCTTACCATAGTTCTAGTGATGGAAGTTACTTTCAAAAGAAATTTTCTATTCAAGAACTATAAAGACAAAAAAAAAATTTCGAACAAATTTGTTTTGAGTTGAAATTCATTTTTTATAATTCTTGAACTCGTGAGTTTGTCTTCTTTTTGAAATAGTGTATTAGATAAATACTCCAAGATAAATCTCAATTTGGTTTGAAATAACCTTCATGATAGTTTAACAATTTTTTTTTTTTTTTTGGCAGAAGCAATTTATTAAATATAAATTTTAGATTGACTAAACTTTAGATTGTGTTTTATAAAAAAAAACAATGATACTCTGCGAAACAACAAGATCCCAACCTTCAGCTACAATGGAAACTAAGAGCGCAAAAACGTAGAACAGAACATCGGCAACAGAGGCATAAATGAGTTAAGGCGCGGATTATCCAATTCTTTGAAACTCCATATCTCATCCAATAACATTGTTTCGCAGTAAACAAAAAGACAAAACCAGGTGAGAAAAAGAAGAAGAACTAATAAACTAAAACATTACGAGAATTCATGAAGACAAACAAGAAGAAGAAAGAAGATCAAATGGAAGCGTGGTTTAATTAATAAGGAGAAGAGACGCACAGTCTGGCAAGGAGATCGACGAGTTGTGGCTTGGGAAGCGGTTCGAGGAGAGACCGCAAATGTTCGACTGACGAAAATTCACCGTTGCCAACGGTCGCCTCCAGCTTCCTCTTCTTCAAATCCTCCATGTTCGTGATGGTTATCAGACACGTTTGGCGCTGAAGTGATAGCAGACCTGAGCACTTGTTGAGCGCTCCAAACTGGACCGAACAGAGCCTTTAGGGCTTCTTTTTTACATTTTTGGGCGGTTTTTTTTAACTATGATAAAAGTCTCACATCAGCTAATTTAGTGAATAATCATGGCTTTATAAGTGAAGAATACTAACTCCATTGCAATGAGGACTTTTGGGGAAGTCCAAATCAAAGCCATGAGAGTTTATGCTCAAAGTGGACAATATCATACTACATTGTGGAGAGTCGTGTTCGTATAACATGGTATCAGAGTCATGCCATAAACTTAACCGTGCCAATAGATTGGCAAATCCTCGAATGTCGAACAAAGGACTCCAAAAAGAAAAAAGGAGTCAAGCCTCCTCGAAGGTACGAAGGCAGTCAAAAATGACTAAGACTCCAAAGGAGTCGAGCCTCGATTAAGGGGAGGCGTGCTTACATCCCACATCGGCTAATTTAGGAATGATCATGGGTTTATAAGTGAGGAATACTAACTCCCTTGGACATTTTTATTCTTTAATTTTGAGTTTAATTTTTTATTTATATTTTTTTAATTTAATATTTAATATTTTACTTTCCTAGTCTTGAATTTTGTTCGATGGGTTGCTATCGAATGTCCCAGTCATACTTGTACAAAAATGTATTGTCTTCCTGTGCCTACTCCAAACTTCTTTATTTGCTTTCATGTTAGATAGACATTTACTATTATTCAATATGGGGAGTACGACCAATCACCAAATCATATCTACACTGTCAGAGCTAAAAAAACTCAAAATGTACATAAGTATAACATTTATAACATCCCTTACAATTCATTCTTCTTGGAGGCCCAGCATCCTCATTGGCACACTACTCAGTGTGCAACTCTGATCTCATTGTAATAGCACAAGCCCACTGCTAGCCGACATTGTCTTATTTAAGCTTTCCCTCAAAGTTTTAAAATGCATATGTTAGAGTGAGATTTTCACACCCTTTGTAAGGAATGTTTGGTTCCTTCTCTAACCGATTCGGATCATAGTAGATGTGACTCGTGATTGATTCTTCCTATTCAGGTTATATTGTTATCAAAGTCATGATCGTTGCTTATTTGTTTTTAACCTATAATATTATTTTCTTTAAAATTATTTTCGCTCACAATTTCTAAAACATGACTCAAGACTCGAGCATGGATGGTACAAAACAAAGACAGAATCTTTCATTCCGGACTTTATTCAAACACCTTCAGAGCATTCCCTTTTGTTACCTTCAACGATAAGGCCTTCCGCTCATTGCAAGCTGGAAATGACATAAGAATTTGAGTAGTAGTTATGGTTTTTCGATGAAAAAGGATTCAGATTTCGAGATGAAAAAAGAAAATTAGAAAGTGTGAGATTTTGATTAGGTAAGAAAAAATGAAACCATGTGCTACTTCGTCACAAGTGTGATTCTATCTTTTTTTTCTTCAAAAAGTAATGGTATTGATCTCGAGATAAACGACTTCTATTCAATCCCGTTGGCACACTATCCAGTGTGTAGCTCTTGTATCATTTGCAACAGCTCAAGTCCACCGCTAATAGCTATTGTCCGCTTTGACTCATTATTAAGGGGATAAAAATATTCTATGACTCGTACTAGCTCTTTGGTTGGTCATACAAAGAGCATGCTCAAATAAGCTACTACACTCATTATGCACTTGCATCACTACCCGAGCTTCACTGCTACTCCACCCAACTATTACGCCTATCACAAACTCCGAAAACCAAATATGGCTTATTTTTTTAAAATATTAAAAAAAAAACAAGACTTAAATATTTAGAGTTACACATATATTAAGAGCAAATATCCATTAATAGTAATAATAAAAATTTTAAATTATTTATTAATCTTTTTTTTCTTTATAATAATATCTCTATTCCCACGAGGCCTTTTGAGGAACCTAAAACAAAGTCATGAGAGTTTATATTTAAAGTGGACAATATCATATCATTGTGGAGAATCGTAATTCCTAACATGGTATCAGAGTCATACCCTAAACTTAGCCATGTCAATAAAATCCTCAAATATCGAATAAAGAACTCTGAGACTTGTAATGTATTTTGTTCGAGGGGAGGATTGTTGAGAATTATTGGGAGTGAGTCATACATTGGTTAATTTAGTGGAAGATAATGAGTTTATAAGTGAGAAATACTATCTCCATTGGTACGAGATGTAGTCAAAAGTACAGGGGAGACTTATAGTGTACTTTGTTCGAGGGGGAGGATTGTTGAGAATTATTGGGAGCTAGTCCCACATTGGTTAATTTAGTGGAAGATCATGGGTTTATAAGATCATGAGAGCTTATAAATTTATAAATTGTGAATAATAATATTTGTCGATATAAATATTATAAATTTATTTTTTAATGAGAAAAAATGGTTCTAGAAGATGTTTAAAGTGTTGCCACCTAAGGGTAAGATTTGGATTATATTTTAAATGGTGACATTATTTTAAAAACAAAAAGTGGAAAAATAAGTTTAATTTTACTTCTTGAACATGAGTCTATTTTATTTAATTTAATTAAAAAAATGATTCTAATATATCCATTATTTTTGTCCATACCATGTTAGGCTTCATAGAAAACAACAAATTGAGACAAAAATGAAGTGGCCATGTGGCCAACTCAATTTGGCTAAATATTTATTAAACCACAAGTTTAATAGTTTAATAATGATTTCCAAACTAACACTCCTTTCATCATTTAAATATTGACATCTGTCGTTGACTTAGAGTCGTCATTTTACTCTTTTCGTAGAAAATTATTTAAGGCTACAACGATATGATAGACAGTTTTTCACGATTTGATTTGATGTACGAGTATTTAAAATGTATTTTAAATTTAAATTTATATTATTAAAAATTTTAAATTAATTTTTTTCATAAGAAAAATAGAAATGACCTGACCCACCATTCATCTTCGTAGGAATCAAGTGTACATTTAATTTAAAAAATAAAGCAAGTTGATTTCAAAAATATTTTTAAAATAAAATTTTATTTTTCAACTTTTTTCTACAAAAGAAAAAAAAAAGTCTCCTATAAATAATATATATATATATATATATATATATATATATATATATATATAAGTAAATGGTATCTTAACGAATTTTAAGAAGATTCAGTCAACGATATTTTAAATCGATTTATATAAATTGAATTAGAATATCATAAACATATATTTAATTTTAATTAAATTTAAAATTATAAATAAAATGAGGAGGAGAAAAATAAAATTTAATAATTAAATTTTTTATTTAATTATCTTTTTAAATTAGATTCACAAACTGAAAAGAAATTAATATCTAAAAGAACAATCAAACACTGTATATATATATATCATAAGCTTCTTGCCGCCATCTCTTGAAATTTCCGGTAAGACTCCTGTTTTTCGAGCCTGAATTTCTCATGACACCTGGCGATGAAAATATCTGCTAATTTGTCAATTTCATTAGCATGCCGACATAATTCCTCTTCTTTATCCCTGTCTTCCAGCCACTGTAAATACCCAGCAAGGTGGTCGGCGGCGCCGGAGGAGTTGTCATCCCACGTGAGCGGCGGGGGAGCCACGTGATAATTGGAGGAGGAGCACCAGTTGTAATGGAGTCTGAAGGAGCCGAAGAGGAGCTTGTTCTTGTTCCTCTTGAAAGCTATGGCGGATTGGTGGTTGGCCTGTTTTAGGATGTGAAGCGCCGTCGTTTTGGCTCGAGAAATTGCTCGGGCAAGAGAGAGAATTAGCGTCTGTAAAAGGGCTTTGAGCGAAGAAGATGAAGGGAAAATTTGAAGCGAAGAAGATGGCGAAAGGGAAACCATTTTCATTTTTTCATACACACAACAACTTCACCTGTACTTTAGTTGGTTTATAAAGGGATTCGTTGACCATTTTGCCCTTCAACTCTTTCGTTATTTAAAGCTAGTGGCATGTGACTTTGTGGATAAAGGTGGGAGGTTTAATTTTTTTTTAATATTAATTTAATGCATAAATTACACGCGTTCCCCTTAAAAATTTTAAAATAATATCAATTACATCTATAAATTCTCGATACAAATGGTTGCTAATACCCCCATACATTGATGAAACAAAATCAAGAATTCGCCCAAGGCAATAGCTTATCAAGACAATGATCAGTAGTTGGTTCGAGAGGATGATCAGCCACACTAGGACTGAGACACAGCTATGGGTGTACATTCAACCTGACAACCCAAACCAATCCAACCTGAACTATAAGAGTTGGATTAGCATTTCGGGTAAGGTTGGGTTCATTTTTTTGAACCCGATTTGAATCAGTTCGGTTGCAGGTACTTTTTTTTTGTATCTTTTTTGAAAATATGTAGCTTTATGAGGGAAAGATTCGAACATTTGACCGATAATAATAACAAAGAAGAAATACCTAATCTTCCTTTATGGGCGGTATAAGATGATATGACAAATCTTGGTTTTTTTAAAATATTCCCAACGCTTATCCCTAAGCTCTTACTTTTTTCCCAATGCTTTGACACGCAAATGCCTAGTTTAAACAGTGGCAATTTGGTGAATATGGAGAAGAAGGAGAGGGTGTTGGTAATTTCATATCATGGTGATGACGACTTATGCTGGCGACAACGCCTAACGGAGTGCCGAAATTTTAAATTGGAGAGAAAGACTTGCACGGCGACCACGGCGACCGCGGCCTTCTTCGCAAGTGCGCTTTGGATTTGTGTCGTCTAAATATGGAACATCTTTTCTTTTTTATTTTATTTCATTTCAAATTTTCAATAATAATTTAATTATTATTTTTTTTATTCAATTTACCTCAAAAATACATTTAAATTTTCCGTATAATAATATAATCACTCGGTGGAGAAACCGACAATCTTTTTAACATTTTAACCCAACTGTAAAATTTGATTTCTCCCGTTAAATAAAATTACCAACTCTTTAACATGTCCAAAACGTGCCAATATGGTATGAGATAAACAATTCGAAAAATTTGACCAAAACTAAATTTATAATTTTAATATATTAGTATCACGTGGTTTTGGTAAATAATTAGATTAAAAATAGTTGATGAATTATTGAATCTAATCGAATCTAAAATCAATATTTATTTATTATATAAAAAATGTAATTACCAACCCTCATGAGGTGGTGTAAAAAAGATAGAATTTGAAATGTGCCTTGGCTCCCAAGTAAAATAATACAAGGTTTCTTGCGAACTTGGATAACTAAAGATTGAGAAAAAAAAAAATTAAAATAAAGTGAAATGGGACACTTAACCACTTTGTTTTTGCTAGAAGAAAAGGTTTGAAATTTTCAAATATATATATATATATATAATTTTGGGATGCTCGTGTAAATAAGAATACATAAATGAATTGAAACTATATTCGAATGAGAATAATCCTAAGAAGTAAAGTTATGGTTAATTATGACCGGTATTAATAATATTATTCAGATATCTCTGTGAAATTAAGATAAATTTTGAAGCATATGAACTAAAATAGTATTTTAACTTTATTTAAATCTCTATTACTGAAATTAGTCGAGTTGGGTTGAGTTGGCTATCTTTCGAATTGGGCTTCCCAAGGTCAGTTGGGTTGGGCTCGGCTCAGTTGGGTTGGGTTCGGTTCTCTACTACCCAAATTTTAATGTTAAAATAGTGTAATTTCAAAAAATAAAAAATAAAATACTATTTCGTTTTTTTTTTAATTTTATTTATATTAAAATAAAAGAATATATATTATTTCTTTTGAAGCAACAAATTAAATAAAATTATATAATTTTTCCCCATTTAATAATCTCACTTGAAGAAATTGTAAAAAGATCTGAATCCCAATCAAAATTTGATAAAAAAAAAAAAAAAAAAAAAAAAAAAAAAAAAAAAAAAATTCTCAACTTGATCATTTATATACAATCAAAGAAAAAAAAACATCAAACTACGGATTGAATCAAATCTAGAACGAACCGTAAACGCATCACGACACTACTTTCTTCTCTCGAGATCGAAAATTCAGATCCAAAAACTCAAAAAAAAAAAAAAAATTCTCAACTTGATCATTTATATACAATCAAAGAAAAAAAAACATCAAACTACGGATTGAATCAAATCTAGAACGAACCGTAAACGCATCACGACACTACTTTCTTCTCTCGAGATCGAAAATTCAGATCCAAAAACTCAAAAAAAAAAAAAAAATTCTCAACTTGATCATTTATATACAATCAAAGAAAAAAAAACATCAAACTACGGATTGAATCAAATCTAGAACGAACCGTAAACGCATCACGACACTACTTTCTTCTCTCGAGATCGAAAATTCAGATCCAAAAACTCAAAAAAAAAAAAAAAAGAAGGGAAGAAATCTACTTCTTGTTTTGAATGGGATTTGCTCCACTTGGGGGCATTTTCTTGAAGCTTTGTTCCACAGCTTTCTTGGGCTCTTTAATGGAGTTGTTCTTCATGTTCTTTGTTCTTGAAAGCAGCAGCAGCTTTCTGGGAAAGCTTCTTCTTTGATCCATTGTAGCTAAAAGGGTATTGGTTTGGAGTTGATGGCAGCAACAAGAAGCAGAAATGGTGAGCATTTGAACCAAAACCACAAGGAAAAGGTAGCACAAGGATTTGCAGTTTGAAGCCTTCTTCTTCATATCTTGCCTGGTTTTCAGTGAATTTGGAGATGGTGGATGGTTTATATTATATAGCCTCCCTTGTCCTCTCTTCTATTATCATACACAAGAATATTTGGTTTTTTACTTACACCCATTTTTTAATACACTTATATGTCGGATCTCACGTCGGTCGGAGAGAGAAACGAAGTATTCATTAAGGGTCTGGAACCATCTCTCTAACATATACGTTTTAAAATCGTGAGGCTGACAGCAGTACGTAACGGGCCAAAACACACAATATTTGTTAACAGTGAACTTGAGCTGTTACAAATGGTACAATAGTCTGTCACTGGGCAGTGTACGAGGACACTGGGTACCAAAGAGGAATGAATTATGAGATCCCACATCAGTTGAAAGTGGGTCTCGAAGGGGGTGGATTATGAGATCTCATATTGGTTGGAGAGTAGAACGAAGCATTGGGTTTATGGTAAGGTTGATGACGATATGCAATGGGTTTAAGCAGACAATATCTATTAGTAAAACTAAAACTCTGTATTATAAAATTTTACGACCCATCATTCTCTTGCAACATGGTTACGTTATTTACTTTTCGCTTCTGAGAGTGAAGACTATCTCTACCTATTAACACGAGTCATTTCAGCATATTCTGTCCTCACTCAGAGTCATATAACACGAAATTGTTTTAAACAAAATAAATTTAACTTTGAAGTTCTTATGATTGAGCTACCGAAAAGGAAAGTGTATATTGTTTTTACAGATAGTAACTTTTAATTTTTCTAAACATTTACTAGTCATCATATCTTCGAGATTGCTCTCATTTAGATGTAGTAACGGTTTGTTTATCTTTACTCGGGTGTCACATGTCCACTGTGATTCGTTAACATGTTCGGAAAAGGAAACGAGAAAAGGTGTGAAGTTGAATGAGAAAATCTTTGTCTAATGTAGGATTCGAAATTAATAATTGAAATATTTTAGAAAGATGATTAGAAGCATGTGAGTGCTGAATTGACTAATACTGTTCTTTCTGACTCACTTACATTGAGCTTTGCAAATTGAGTACTAAATTATCAAATAATATATAAACATATATATTCTCATGTGACTCACCACGTGAAATTCAAATCAAAGCACGTGCCATTACATGTTCTTTCCCATTGCCTTGTTGTTTCCAAAGATATCAAATATGATATTGCTTTTATTCTTCTTCTAGGGTTTTTTGTTTGGCCAACGTTACCCAAAACATAATTATATCGGTTTTGTCATTCGGTGATTCTCTCGATGTTGATGCAACAGTCCAAGTTAATCTACTACTAATAAATATTGACTGCTTTTGACTCGTTCGGGAGAGGTTTTCATACCCTTATAAGAAATGTTTCGTTCTCGGTCTCTCCAACCGATGTGGAATTTCACAATCTACCCTCCTTAGGGGTCAAATGTCCTGACTAACGCACCATCCAGTGTTTAGCTCTGATACTATTACAACTCAAGCCCACCGTTAACAAATATTGTTCGTTTTGACCTATTACGTATCAATATCAGTCTCACGATTTTTAAAACGCGTCTACTAGAGAGAGATTTCACACCCTTGTAAAGAATGTTTTACTGCAACAAATTCTGTAAAACGTTCCACGGGTGAAGAGTCTAAAATTTTGTAACACCCGAATATATAAGAGATATATGATATGGATAATGTAATGTTTGGAGATTTAATTAATTTTTTTTTATTGAAATTATTTATTTTAAATGAAATGCACTATATATAGCCAAAAATTTGAATTTATTTTGTATTTTACATACGCATTTTTTTGTTGTTGAATGTTGTTTGGAGCTCTGGGGCGTTTCGCGTTATTTTTGCAGACGCGGTTTCCGTATTGATTGGGGACGAAGACGACACCTCTCTTCTACACATAATCAAGCGCCAGTCAACATTTAGTTCTTCCTCCAAACTCTGTTTTATCTTTCTTTATCTTCTTTGATCGATTTCTTTTCTTGTTTTTTTTACCCATTTCCCCTTTTGATTCTTGACTCTAGCAGTTCTTATCTATTGATTTGCCGCATTTCCATTGATCAAGATCCCGCGTTCTCCCGCGTTTAATCCAGTTCTTAGCTTCTTCTTTGTCGATAATCCATTTTGAACACTTTCTGCGCTCTTCCTCTTCCAATCTTTTTAGGCTCTTCTCATTGATCATGGACTATGAAGCCTGCGACAGTAGCGGTATGTTGAAATGGTTTGGATTTTGTTGTATTGGAATATGAGTTCTTTCAAATTTAATTTGGCGGGTTTTCTTTGCGCGTGGTGGGCTCTTTATTTTCGTCGAGGGCATGAAAATAGGTTTCAGTTTTTTTGGTGTTTTAACGGAAACTGGGGTTTGGTCACTTCCATCAAATGAAGGTTTAATCGCGTTTTACCCTTTGTTTTTGAGTTATGAGTATTATCATTTCCGTTATTTAGGTTTAGTTTTTGCATCCATTCGAGAAATTTTTAGACTATCGTGCTCGATCATGGTGGATACTCTTTGTTGCTTGATTGGCAAGCCAAGTTATTGTCTCTTCGGTTCCCTTTTCTCGAGGGCGTAAGTTATTCCATTTAGGACTATGAAGATTTAGGATTTTCTGGATTGTGAGTTCCTTCAATGCCCTTTTCGGTTGAATTGTTCCTTGCATAAAGTATACATGATGGGGATTTCATCATTATAAACAGTTTATAGGAACCCGGAGGATGTTATCAGAATTCTATCATGTTAATGGGGGAAATGATGAGTTAATCTATGTATAACATTGTTTAGAATCATGTATCCTGCATATGAAATAACTGCAGGTACTGATGATGATCATCCACAATCACATCATAACAGAGTTTCTAGAGGAGGTCACATATCTGGAAGGAGGACGTCTGTTTTGAGTTCTTTTCCATATTCTAGAGTGCATGATATGGAGACCCGGATTCATGATCTCGAAAAAGAAGCTTACAGCTCTGTACTGCGTGCGTTAAAAGCCCAAGGGGATGCCATTACCTGGGTGTGTTCATCCTTTTCAAGTTTGCTAGTGCATATTTCATCTTTATTGGTTTGCATTAACTGAGGTTTATAATCTATGTTTGACAGGATAAAGAAAGCTTGCTAACAGAGCTTAGGAAAGAATTGAGAGTATCAGATGATGAACACAGAGAGTTGATCGCTAGCGTTAATTCCGATGATATCATCCGTGAGATTAGGTTAGAATGTTTCTCAAGCAATAGAATTTTAATCGATTTTCCGATGTATCTTTCTTCAACTTTATTGTATTATGTTTTGAGATGGTACAAGGGAGTGGAGACAGGCAGGTGGGCACCAAACCATGAGTTGCAGTTCGTCCCTGCCAGTTCATGATGTTGTTCCTAGTCCAACTGTTTTGGCATCCCGTAAGAAGCAAAAAACAAGTAAATTGGTATCACTACTCTTGCTGGTTTCCATATGTTGATTCTGCATTCTAAACCATGTTTTTTTGTTGCATCAAAGGGCCTTTTTGGCAACAACATATAAAACATGGTTGTCTCTAGTTTTCTGATTATTTAAGGTTTCTTCGTTTTTTTATCTTATTGGAGTACATCATTGCCTGGTTTTTCATATATGGAACCAATGCAGTACTCTTCTTCGGTTCCTGCTGGAAGAAGACAGTTAAATAATCGTAGTTCTTCTGGGGCTCTTCTGGCAAACGAATCTGCTGAAGCTCCAACATATGATGAGACTTTCATTGGAAGGAAAGTGTGGACCAGGTGGCCCGACGACAACAACTTCTACGAGGCTGTCATAAGAAATTACGATCCTGTTAAGGCATGTCTTAGTCGCAAAAAATTGCTTCAAGCGTTTTTTAACCATTTTGGGAACAATATTTTCTTGTGCCTTTTTCTTCAGGACAAGCATGTCTTGGTTTATGATGCAAACACATCACGAGAGACGTGGGAATGCGTTGATATTAAAGAGGTATGTTTGAGTATTGCTTTCTTTTTTGTGCCGAAGTATTTCTCTGAATCCTTCGGGTTGTTAGGGTCTACGGGGTGACAGTTATAGAATATGTTGACAAATTTAGGAAATGCACAAGAATCAACGAGATTCAGTACATTCTTTTGAAAATTAATGCCATTTTCTGTCATTTTCATATAGTGTCAGTATTCAGGAAGTGTATTGGGTGCACGAACCATGAAACATGTTGGTCGCTGCCAAGGATGTGTTGTTGAGTTCTTGAAAAACATATAGAATTCTGGTGCTGGTAGATTAAAATATATAGAATTCTCTCCTTCCCGTAGTCATTTGCTTGAGTTCTTGGAATCTTTTATATAATTTGTAGAAGCTTGGTGGCTGCTAAGGATGTTTTGTTGTTGGCATAAAGATTGCATGATGGTGACATCTTGGTGTGGTTGGGTTGTGAAGTCCAATCGTGTGCAGCGACTGAAATCTCCTGATAACTGCAGATCCCGCCCGAGGATATTCAATGGGATTGGGAGGATCTAAGAATGACTCATCGAGGAGGCCATAGTGGCCGCCTGTTTAGAAGAACGCAAAGCTCGGGTGGTTTTGCTCCTGGTGCTGGCAGGGGGAGAGGACGCTCAATGAGCCAATCCAGAAAGGAAATTTCTCCATCACAAAATAGAGTTGGAAAGAAGGCGGTGGATGATATTGAATTACTTAATACAGAGGTATTAGTAAAGGAGGTAAGTGTATATGCATTGGAAATAGATTGGATAAAAAATCAAAAACAGTGATATCCATTTGGTGATTTTGAACACCGACAGGTCGAGAAAGTTTTCAACTCAAGTAATCCCGATCCCGTGGAGCTCGAAAAGGCAAAGAAAGTGCTTAAAGTATGGTTCTTATCATGCTTTTCCCATTCCTTTTTTCTCTGGTAAATCGTGTTTTGTATTCGACGTGCAGGATCAAGAGTTGGCACTTGTGGATGCAATTTCTAGACTGGCTTATACATCCGATGGTGAAAGTGGTAATAAATATATGTGTACATGATGTCAGTATCTCTGCATTCTGTTGTATATCTCATTTCTTCTTCCTCTTTTGGTAGAAAATAATCATTTAAATGTGTTTGTATGAGGATTTTTCTTAATGTCCTGTGTATTTCCCCTCTTCTACAAAATAATAGCAAGAATTTCCTCTTTTTTTTCATACTGATATCAAATTTTAAACGTTCTTGTGGAATTTCTTGTTGAAGAAACAAATAGAGATAAACTAAACTCGGATTTTAACCTCCAAATACAGCACGACAGGGAATCTGAGCAAATTCGTTTAATATTTTCCTCTGTTTTGTATTCATGATTCTACCAAATTAGAGAAACTGGAGATAATTCGTTTACCGATTGTTGCATTCAGCCAAATGGATGTTTATATCTAATCGTCTTTGTTTTAATGCATAGCAGAAAGGGAAGCAGCCAAACGTGCATGATCAATTAGTTGACAAACAACAATACTTGAGCTACCAAGTGCCAGTGCCAAATCTGTATAGAATTGTACCAAAAATTATCCTATGTTAGTGGATCAAATTCTTTTGTTTTTTTTTTGCTTTTTTTGATTGGTTTTTCTCTTTCCAGTGAAGGGGAGGGATTGACTGTTCTTATAGATATAGGGATTGCCTGTTCTTATAGATATCTATGGCACTAGATAGGATAGAGTAAACAACATAGTGAAGATTTAGCACTCTGTAGCTTGTAATTGCATTAATGGCTTCATTTCCGGCTACATTACTCTGAATTCTTTCCAATTCTCTTTTGCTGGTGTGTCAATATTTGTGTTCGTCAATCCAGGGAAACTGCAGGCCAAAGTAGAATGAATCGGTAAAATAATTTGAAGTGTGGGGGAAATGAATTGGGTTAGGCAAAGAATTTGAGTTGCCCTTGTATATATGCAACTCAAAACATATCAGGGATCGTGGGTTTTCCATCTAGATCCAATTCAATACGATAATTAGAGCAAATCAAACAAGAACATTGAATCTTGTAACTCTAGGAAACGCTTCTAATGATTCAAAATTGCAGAAAAGTGAATAAGTTAATAGGATTAAGAACCACCTACAGTTAGAAAGGGGAACGAAACATTCCTTGTAAGAGGGTGGAAACCTCTATTTAATAGACGCGTTTTAAAACCGTGAGGTTGACAACAATAAGTAACGGGCCAAAGCAGACAATATCTGCTAACGGTGAGTTTGAATTGTTACAAATGGTATCAGAACCAAACACTGATCGGTGTGCCAGCGAGGACGCTGGACCCTTAAAGGGGTGGATTGTGAGATCCTACATCGGTTGGAGAGGGGAACAAAGCATTCCTTACAAAAAAGGGTGGAAACCTCTCCTAAGTAGACATGTTTTAAAACTGTGTGAGGTTGATGGTGATTCGTAACGGACCAAAGCGTACAATATCTGCTAGCGGTAGGCTTGAACTCTTACACTAACATACTCGGAGTTCAGATCATGACACCCCCTTTTCTAAGGTTTCCATCTAATGTCTGTTGCTAATTTGTCAGCCATACCCTCCGTCCTCCAAGATTGGAGCGGATAAACGAGAATGAAAGGGGCAAGTGAGCAATAACAATATATCAGGAAAACCATTCCTACGAACTATAATGGTGGTGATTTATCTATTTGAAATTACTTACACATGCTCATGCTTATTGTACAGAACAATTTCAATTCTTCTAAAACAAAGCCATCCGCGAGAACAGATTAAAGAACAATAGAAGAGAATACAGCATTAAAAACTATAAGACCAGCTCCTAACCAGCTGCTTAATTGAATACTGACATAAACCAGCTGCTTCTTGTTCATTAGTTTTGTCCTTAGAAATAGAAAACTGACATAAAAAAGCAGCTCCTAACCAGCTGCTTAATTACAGTCAAAATTCAAGCTTTATATAGGTGTCTTTAGCAGTCTTCTAAGTTGTGGCAAGAGAACATCAAACAAAATAGCTAACAGAACATTAATCCAATAATCCAAACACAAATCCTAGTTTCCAATTTGAAATGTAAATCTAGATTCCAAGAAAGTTGTCACATTAATCCAATAATCCAAAGACAACAGATTGGAGATCTTTCTCAAGTCATGTAAATCAAGATTTCGAGGAAACTTGTCCCTACCAATGGAGGAGATCACTGTCCGAACAACTCTTCAACAGACTCGTTTAATGGATAAAGAATCCAGAACTCAATTGAAAAGCATAGGGGCGAACCTAGGAACAGATAACACCATAAAAGAACTCAAATCCTTAGAAAATTATACCTCTATTTTCATCAAAGATGGGGTGTTCTTCCCAACTCTAACGAACTGAGACTCGAGTATTTCATAAACCAAAAACATTGTTTATGAATATACCAACAGAAGATCAATCCTCCTCCACCTTCACCTTGAGACCCCTCCATTGCCATTTTGTTATTCTGTTTCCCATTACTTTGATAAGAAAGTATCATACTCGAATCTGGCAGATCCTCATTAAAATATGGAAGATTTGGAGAATCCCGCAGAGTACACAGCCAACAGATAGCAATACTTCAAGAATTGTAATTACAACAAAAGCACTTACGTCTACAGCCAATAATTTATTATCAGATGCATGGATTATAAAGTTTCAACAGATTGAATATGATCTCAGTCAAAGAAATCAAGTTCATATCAAATAGAACACACCCAAATCCAAAAGCTGGAGTACCAAAACAACAAATGATTACCGCCGATCGGAGCCGACACTAGAGAACACAACGATAAGGCATAGAAAAACAGGAGGTACCATATCGAGCTACCATCAAGTCAAAGACTACTCAAATCCAGTTGAAGGGGCAAAATCAATATTCAAGACATACAAACACCCACCAAAAGATTCACGAAAATGGGGAAACAAACCTGCAAATTAACCTACCAACCAAAAACGCGAGTGGCGGAAATTTTCCAGGGGAGACTTCCGTGAAGAGTCATCTAATCGTGGTGGAATAACAGAGCAGAAAACGAGAGACTAACGGGATGATATTGCCGCCATGCCTCTCATATGGATCGCGGCAGCTGATTAGCGATAACCGATGAAGCGACCATGAAAACGCCTGAAGATCCAAACCCAAAAACCATGGTTGTAGATTGAAATTGTGCGTTACTTGATCCAAATCCCATCTTCCTAATTAAACAGAAATCACGATGAAAAGTTAACCAATGTTGAAGGAGAGAGAGAGATCGGGAAAAGAGAGGGATGGACATCGAAGTGCAGCTGACGCTAAGATAGGGGAAAAAATGCCGATGTTTTATTTGGAGCCGATCCTTCAGGGTTGGTCGACATGTCGTTTTTATTCTTCAAATTCACTACACGTCTATACGTTTAAAATACCTTAAAAATAATCTAACGCACTTTTCGCTTATAATATTTATTTATTTGAAATTGCTTTAATCTATTTTCTCGCTCACCGTTTTCTAAAATATTTCTCTCAAATGTGATTTGGAGCACACGATTAACTTGCTCATTAGATCAGAATAACAATCTCTGTCTATCATAACAGTGCGATGGTGACACATGGCAATGAATTTAAATAAAAAATTAATTAAATAATGATAAATAATAAATTATTTGGCATTAATTTCAATTCCAATTTTGCTGCCTAATATTTTGCCACCGAAACGATTCAATTTTGCTTCCAAAACCCTTACCCTCTGTATAGAGTTGGAGTTAGGGTTTTCGACCACTTTTTTCGTTTCCTTGTTTTGTATCTCTTTTTTTTTTTTTTTTTTTTTTTTTTTTTTTTTTTTTTTTTTTTTTTTTTTTTTTTTT